TGGCACTTTTTGTGAAATGCACCCCATGCTGACTTCCTCTCTCCCCGAGAGCTCTCGCTCTCGCTCCGGAGTAGTGCCCTCCAGCACGAGAGGAGAGAGAGGGTGCTCCGGCGCGCGGCTCCCTTCCTGCCCTAGCCCACGGTGGAACCACCCACCACTCTCCCTCTCTCTCTCACACACACACACACACACACACTCTCTCCTCTCTCCCTCCCGTCCTCTCTCTATCTGTCTCTCTCACTCACACACATAGACAGTGGTGCGCGAAGTCGTCGAGCGCCGCTTTGGCAGAGCTCGCCGTCGTAGACATTCGGACTTATCACCCGTCCCGAAGCGGGCCGCTTACACTGTTGTCCCCGCTGACGCCCTCCTTCTCCTTCTTCTGCCCCGCAGGCCGCAGCTGCACCTTCGCCAGGTGACGGACGGCCGCCACTTCGTGCAGCTCATCTACTCGGGCGAGGACGAGCTCCGGGACTGCGAGTACGTGACGCACGCGCCCACCGTGCACGCCTTCCTCGACACCTTCCGCCACGACATGGAGGCCGTGCGGCACGGCGGCGGCGGCGACGCGGGCGCCAGGAACGTGACGGTGCGCGTCCTCGGCGACGACGAGGCCCTCCCCGACGACCTGGCGGCGTGGCTCGACTACCCGCGGCTGCGCGAGGCGTGCGAGGAGAACCACAACCAGATCAGGAGGCTCCTCGACGGCCACCAGCGGGGGGAGGAGTCCGCCAAGCACGAGCTGGAGAGGTCAGTATTTCTGCGTGTTAATGGGAACGGGCAGCACCGCACGCTTTGTGAAGGAATGCGATGTGTGAAATTCCTTCTGAGTTGACTTTGATATGTGATTAAAATGTAAGGTGATTGAAATTTTTGAGCGTCTGGGTTGGTGTTTGATTTTCCATTATTTTTATTCTGCATGAGGATGAGTTCAAGTTTAGTTTGAAATAAGGCCTGCTCAAATTTCTAAAACAGATTTATGTAAAATCTATAACTTTCCCCTACGTGGACAGTTTCTTCTCTATCCTATCAATATTTAAACGTGTAAATAGTAAGTTTTACTCTTTCTTCTTAAAATTCTTCTTGATGGCCTGATAGTGTACTCGTAAGATAACTCACTCAGGTGGAACTATGTCAAAATCTCGACAACCTGTAATGTGGATGATTTTTTGCTGTCTGACAACACCTTTTGCTCAGCTCACTGTGTCCCACCCGGGCACAGCATGCGTGTAATGTGATAAATGTGATAATATAATGGTGTGTGTATGTGTGTGTGTGAGCCACGCCACGAAGTGCCGCGCCACCGAGCCAATGCCGCCAACTCACCGCACCAACCGCACCACACACGCCGTGTGGCCCGAAACGGGGCATGCAACTCAACGCTTTGAAATGCACCGAGTGGACAGGCGCACCAAGCTCGTACATGTGGGCACCGCTCCGGACCGGCCGAAGCAAGAACGAGTCGGCGAGAACGCCCAAAGCCCTAACACCTCCTTCTTTTCCTTTCTCTCGGTCTGCCCGAGGCCCGCTTGCAGTAGCATCTTGGACAGTAAATGTGGTATCGCGTGCCGATATACAGAGAGACTTCAATGCTGGAAGCGTGGGAGACCACGTGGGTACGCAGTGCTGCGAGCAGTGCTGCCACCCTCGCATCGCCGAGTTTAGACCCTCATTACGGGGCGGGCGCTCTCATGGAGAATGGAGAGTAAAATCCAAGATGTTACACGCAGGGCCCTCTTTGATCATGAGAGATATTACCCTTAGAGCCACGCCTAACTAACGTAACCTGCACCACCACCGTCTTCCGCAACTCTGAAATAAAAATTGCTCGTTTAGTTTAACAATTTTGTGTGCTTTATAAGAGCATAGCTTATATATGTGAATTTTTTTTGTGGTATGAGCACCAGCTTTGTGTACTTTGCTTACATTTTTTTTTCAAGCTTTATCTATATACGTATCCATTTAGTGCCTGTCTTTATCCAGTCACCAGGAGTGCATTAAGTTTTAATCATTATTCTCAGCCAAACCTGCACTCTGCTGCGAGGTATTCGCACGTCCGCGTGCCCCACGGTGACACGGTGGCGCATTTCTAGCTGTAAATCAATACCAATCCGGATCACGAGCCCCGCCACGCCACGCCCTCCACGCGCACATTCACATTCGCGTGCGTGTACGCCACGGCGATGCCTTTCATTTTATCGCTCGTAAAAGACCGCCGAGATGTTTATTGGGGAAAGAAATGGTCTGAGCGATGCGCGGAACCCGCGGTAACGTAGCCTGAGCGCGGCCGTACTGTTTGACGGATTGGCTTACAGGGAAGAATGATTATCACTTTGTACTCTTGAGCTTGAGAAAACATTATGTACGCACTTCTACTGCACGCTGCATTTGTGTAGATTAGCCATGTTTTTTTTTCTCCCATGCCTTATTATTGTCATAAGTTTTTATTTATTTTTATTTTTCCCCCACCACTGAGATACTCTCGGATACTCCACATTTATTTTTCTGCGTCTTTCGCATTGCCTCCGCGCTTTCTCGCCCACTTCACGAAATCCAGGTGTGATAGCAGCGCGCGACGCCCAGTTTCTCAATCCGAATCTCAATGGGGAATGGCAGATAAAACTATTTACGTCGTCGGCCTTTTTTCGACCGGTTCGGCTCACTCTCCCAGTCGACTATCCCCTCCTCACGCCCTTCATAAATACCGGTGCAGGCCTTCGCACAACTTATGGACTTCCCCGCCGCGCGCCATTCACAGGGCGCTGCCACCACAATAAAAAAAAACAACAAACGTTCGACAGACATCACCGCGTAAATAATATAAACACGGCACGCGCATTTCAATTTATATGTCGTGTGTTTGGATGTTTGTTGCGACGAGCTGGACCTCTTTGGGCTGGCTGCAAGGCGCGACGCAAACGGGAGGAAGGGGGATTTAAAAAAAATTATAATTGGCCATCATTTTCCCGACATGTGATTGATGGCTTTTTATTTCTTTTGACCGATTCGCAGTTGGTAAGGCTCACGCGAGCCTGCCCAGACTTAACAATAATTCCCATTACTGCCCGCTGCAGCAGAACGGCGTCATGTTTATCTCCCTAACCCACAAGCCTCCTCGATGGCCAGAAACCTCTACTCGCTAGATGTGTGTCAAGCCACGCTAGTGGCCGGGGGGCCCGTCCGGGCCCTTTCCCTGTAGAAAATCGCGTCGCATCCCAGCCATCCTGTGAAAAGTGTTTTCCGTTTAACTGGGGCGTTTTGTATGAAATATGCACACACATGCACTAAAGTCTCGCGAACCCCGTTCGGTACACATCCTGGTTCACACGTGAGAAACGAGGAAAGTCGCGGAGGCACTCGCCATTCCCATTCTGCCGGTGGTGGTTTAGCTCCCTGCCCCCGTAGCGTAGCTTTTGAGCCTTTTGCTGAGCGCTAGGTTGGTGTTGTAGGCGGAAGCGCAGCCTCCAAGACGCGCTCATGGCACCGGGGACCAAGTGGTGCGGCAAGCACCACCGCGCCGACACCTACTCGTCGCTGGGCGCCTTCAGCCACACGGACCGCTGCTGCCGGCGGCACGACCAGTGCAAGATGGCCATCCCGTCCTTCGCCACCAAGTTCGGCCTCTTCAACCACCGGCCCTTCACCATCAGCTACTGCGGCTGCGACAAGAGGTAGAGTAAGACCCCAATGTGTGTGCGCTTGAGTGAGTGAGTGAGTGAGTGAGGTGAGAGAGTGAATGTGTGTGAGCGAGTGCGCGGATGGCTTTTCTCGACCGACAGTGTCCTGCGCGGCGGGCGTGCAGTGCAGCAGGGCACTCACCCGTTCGTCCGTCTATTGTGGGGCTGGTTAAACAAATGATGCAGCGACGTGAACTTGCACCTCTGCCGCGTGGCCAATGGCAGGCGGCCAGAGGCCAGCGCCTTGGGACTTATTACAGATGGTGATCATTGAGAAGAATCATCTCGAGTAAGATGGACCAATTCGACCAAGTTCGAGAAGATGGGCAGCTCTTGCCGGGAAGATCCTGTATAAAGGAGAACTGCGGTAGCTCGGCAAAGTCCAAGAATGGGTGAGCCACAGCAAGACGTGAACATGAGGGGACCCACGAAGTTGAAGACGGGTCAAGTTGTGGATGGTTTGTGCGGCGGTGTGTTGGCGGCATTCTCCGTGGCTGGTGTTCGTGGCTGGTCCAGACGACGGTCCGGATGCTGAGTGGAGAGTGTTATGCTCTTGCAGGCGGAAGCGCGACCTGCTGGACGCGATGCGAGTGCCGGGCACCAAGTGGTGCGGCAAGGGCTTCACCGCCACCTCGTACAACCAGCTCGGCTCCTTCTCGCGCGCCGACCGGTGCTGCCGGCACCACGACATGGGCTGCCGGCACTTCATCGGTGCCCTGGAGGAGAAGTACGGCCTCTTCAACTGGAGGGTCAACACCATCATGCACTGCTCGTGCGACAGAAGGTAGGTGTCCGCCGCCCTGTAGGACTGACGAAACTGTGACGGGGGGGCAGCAGCGTGTGACAGGGGGTCAGTACTCCTGAGTAAGGTTGTTGCGAACTCGATAGCGTCACCGAGACGTGCTCGGGGCTCAGGGTGGCTGACCCGCGCGCGGCCAGCTGGCGCGCCGGGTGCCGCGGTGCAGTTTTGCCTGCTGCTTGCTGCTGGCTTCCTGAAGCGCCACCGGCCGTCGCCCGCGCCACGGACGCGGAGCGAGTTCCGCTGCTCGCCAGCCAATCACGACGCGCTATCGATGTTATCGATCGATTATTATTATTGTCGGCCAATTTGCCCGACTGCTTGTCATCGGTGGCGCGGCGGCCGCCCCACCTTTTTACTATCAAGTTGTTTTAAATAATTGATCCTCGACACGGCTCTGGCACTCATTTCGATCCCAAGGCTGAGCGAGTCTCTCTCTCTCTCTCTCTCTCTCGCTCTCTCGCTCTCTCGCTCTCTCGCTCTCTCGCTCTCTCTCTCTCTCTCGCTCTCTCGCTCTCTCGCTCTCTCGCTCTCTCGCTCTCTCTCTCTCGCTCGCTCGCTCGCTCTCTCTCTCTCGCTGGTGCGTGTGGTCCACCTCAACCTTTAGCTCTGGCGCTACGGTGCAGTCGGACTGGCATGCGTACAAATTCTCCTCTCTTTCCCATTTGAATGGCCCGCGCTGCGCGCCTTTGTGCTGCGCCCGCCGCGCGCTCATTCGCTCCAAATCACACAGCCAGAGAGCTGCGCTGCCAGGCCCCCTTTCGTGCGTGTGTCCGCGGCCGTATAGCGTGAGTGCAACACGACTGATTTCTTCTCAATTTAACCTTCCCAATGGGGCGAAAAAAAATTACAAAACTCTTGGAGAGAGGAAGCAACAAACTGCTAATAAGCGGCCTGCTGCGGCTCATCGGGATTGACTGGCAATTAATATGATTAATACAATAGTGCCCGCGCTGTAACGGTGCGTGATGCGTGTGAAATGTGGCCCACACGCTTGCTCTCTGCGCGACGTTGCATGTGGCGGACGCCGTCGTTGGCGGGTTCATTCCGGTCACGTTCGCAGCAGAGGCCACGCGGACCCATCCTCCGCGCCATGAGGCTCATGGAGCTGCTGCTTGGGCGTGCGCCCCAATCTATCAACTCATTGATTGAACGATGCTTTTCGTTCCGGTGGTACGGCGCCGGGTATGCGTTTCGCCGGGCTTTTGCTTCCGCTGCGGGGGGTAAAATCGCGCGAACACGAGTACGCTCATTTCGCAATGGGGAACTCCACTATCATCTCGCGCATGAAATGAGCTGCTCCAAACGGCTCAAGTCTGACACATGCGCAGCGGCACCCTTTAGTTTCGCGACCCCATTCCGATGAATACTTTATACGCGTCGTCCTCGCGTAAAAGTTTCCGCGTCAAAGGGGAGTGAGGTCAGGCGTCGCATGTTGAACCCTTTGGGCGCATAAGATGGCAGATGGCACACTTGTACTGCGTTTTCCAAAGGAAACTAAAATCTGTAAGGTTCTATATGCTGCTAAAATTTTCTATTCCGTATTCTTACAGTCAACGTTTGACGACAAAATCTCCAACAAAAAATTGAAAAGCTTTAGTCATTTCTTTTGTTTAGTATGAGTGCTTTTGATTGTTTCGGCGGACGGGTTGTCCGGGTGTGTGTCGTAACCCGCATGATTAATCTCCTAATTGGAAGAACAAACTCTCCATTCACCGGCGATACGACCTATAGCGGCTGCATCTACTCTACGAGGGAGCGGCCCATGCGCGCGGCCTGCTGCAGCTCCAATCGAGAGCTCGCGACGGGACCCTCGCGAGCTCGTAAAAGTCGCGCCCGCGAGCGATTTTAAAACTCTGTCATACAAAAGAGAGCGAGGGTAAAGGGGGGGGGAGGGGGGACGAGATTTATAAAAATAGAAACGACCGAAAGTGATTTACGTCAAGATTGACTTCGGCTGTATGGCTGTTACGACCGCGGCCGGCGCGATGAGACAGCCATGGGGCCTAACTGATGAAATTCCGCGCACGACGCCGGGCCGCGCTGCTGCTGCATCCCGCCGCCGCCCGGCGGTTTGTTCTCGGAAAGGCGTGCGTGCGGCGATGCTATAGGCTACCTGCCGGCCTTCGTGAGGGCCTCCGAGAGGGCCCGCCTGCTGGAGCGCCCTTGCTCCTCTCTGGAGCCTGGAGTGGTTCTAGGAATTTACAGACGGCCCCCCGCGCACCTCCTGTGGAGTACCTGGAGTGCCGTGTGCTGTTGACACACTGTGCGCGCGCTTTGCGTTGGGCCCTTGCGATGGCCCGGCGGCTGCCACCTCTGGCTCTCTGTTTGCCCCCCCGGTATGAGTTTCAGTTTGCCCAAACGCACAAGTGCATCATGGGTGTGCATACTTACGCCTTCGCGCCGCGCCGCGTGGGCTGGGCGGGGCGCTATCCACAGCAGAGCGACCGCGGGTTGTGGCGTGGCTGAGGAGGTCCTTCAAGCCGCATAGTGCCGAAATCACTTTTAGACGTAGGGCCCCGTGCGTTAACATTATGCACGGGGTAGCTGAGCGAAGTGCATTAAAATAACGGAAGAGGTAACAGTATAGAACAAAACTATAGTGAATATGGGTCCGCCTAGTAGGTGGGCAACCAGTTCTGCCCCTTGAACGACGAGAGAGAGAGGGGGGAGGGAGGGGGCTTCCAATTATTCCGTCTCTATAGTGAGCCGTTTCAGTGATGGGGAATTTCTGTCTCGAGTCTCATGTGCATTTAAGCAACCTACCGTCCAACCCCCCTCCCCCCTCTTCCTGGAGGGGGGGGAGGGTACTTCACTGTCAATTCAAGCGTACACCAATTTTTCTGATTTCTTTAATTGATTTTCCTCTTTTTCCCCTGTATTTTTCTGAATTTTTATCGATTTTTCCTTATTTTTTTCCCCTTTATTTTTCGTTCTTTTTCTGACTTTTTATAAAGATGCACCTAATTTTATTAGGTGTAGAACCCCCCCCTCCCCTGCCCCTCCTATGTGTTGCTGCTGTTAGTTCATGTGTCCCTTCCTACCTCCACTGCCCTCCCCCTACCTTATGTACTATTTTCTGTACATTTCATTCTAACCAAATCCATTTATTTGTGAAAGGTGAAATTCAATTAGAATGCCTCTGGTTGAAATGAAATTAAATACCCTAATATTTAATCTAATTTCAAAATACATTAAAACTTCTCTTCTACGTCAAATATAACTTGTCGCTCTTTGATTCAGTTTTATCAGATCTCTCCGTGGCAATGGGTGGATCACGGGTCACCGATGTATATTTAATTGAAAGTTCTGTAATGTATCGTACCATAAAGTTTAATGTCAATGCTCTCACCATTTCATTGGATATTATTAAACATAATCTAACTCCAGACAAAGCTAGTCAATTAAGGCCAATGATATTCCTCGTTCTGTTTTCGATGGGGCTATCCTACCTGGGTATGCGATATTGGACATAACATTGTTCGGTCCCTTGCAAGTCCATGGCTATTGTGAAAATAAGTTGTGTGTTCAATAATCGTTTTGAGATGACCTATTAAAAGATTAGGTGACTTCCAATCATTCTACAAGAAAACACCATTACATTATGTTCAAATGAAAAAATTGAAAATTTGGATTTTTTTAGAAGTTACAAAATTAAAAGTGTAATACAAGATTTGGATTCCTGTCTCAAAATAAAAAAGGAAAAGTCTTATGCTCAAAGCCGATCAGAGTTAAGATGACAATGTTATTAGCATCCAAAGGGGTAAATGTGTGCAAAAACGACCAAATTGTCAATTTGTCGGGCAATAACTCTGCCATCTCCGTTCCGATCGTCTTGGAGCATAAAACATTTTCGTTTTCTTTTGTCAAGATGAACCAGAAACAATAGAAACCTTTTCAGATTTCTCCCGAATCACTCCCCCCCCCCTCCAAGTTACGTACATAAAGACGTCAACCACTCGAAATATCACTTTCGTTTCTTCTCACTGGACACTCGCGAAACTTCGTACGTCGAGTTCCACAACTCTAAAACTAAAAATATTACTCTTGGTTTGACAATCTGACGTTTTAGTCACTTGTGATAGAGTTTCAAAAGCTTGAAGTGGGCGAGCCGTTCGCGTGTTCGCGCTCTTTTCTCCCTCTCTTGTCAGTGTTGCCACCACTGACACAACAACATTTGAAGCTCTCTATGAAA